AGGAACTGAAGTTTTATCATTATTTGCACAGCTGAGCCCTGCAGCACTAGCTGACGTCAATGCTGGAGCTTATCATAACATTTCCACTTCATTTAATTATACAAGTTGCTTTATGTTGTTCTACCTGAAGCCTCAGTCCCATAAACCATCTTGATGCTGCTTGGCCCAGCGAGCAAATGCCATAGCTACTGAAGTGCATTGAGATGAGGCCATCTGGCTAGAGCAGTGTACCTAGAACTCAGGCGCCACTGGCAGATTTTGCCATACTGGTGCATTGCTACTGCACAATAGAATCTTACCCCCTAAAGATTCTGGTCTCAGAAGATGGGTGTGAAAAACCCCCAAATGAAAGGCTTGTTCACACTAGAATTTTCTTGTTTCCTACCGTTACTGCTGGTTCACGTCCGGCCCTAGTAGCATGAAAAGCAGCATAGCCCCCACCTGTAAAGCAGATGAACAAAAGAAATAGTTTCCTCATCATGCTGCTGCAGCACCCGCCCTGTCTGAGGTGGTGCACTCCCAAGACAGTAGCCAGCTGAAAAGAAGCAGAACATGCAGCAGTTACTCTCATTTAGTGTCACTCATAGGACTAGAGCCACACACGGGAAGGCAGTAGCCTCAGTGTTTCAATGCCTGACTTGAGGGGTCCTGCCGCCTTTGTCCTGGCTGCCATAACAGCAGGTACCATGAATATGGCCTGGGGCTTCTCATGTCAAAGTAGCTGCCCAGACAGTCCCTAGTTGCACTCTTGTTGCAGCCGTTCTCCCTGCAAACTGACCACAGCCAAGCGAAGGCTCTCGGTGCCTGGCAGGGGAGGCGTTCGGCCGGCAAGAAAGGCTTCGCAGCACGCTGAAGTTGGCACCACCTAAACTAGCCAATTGAAAAGGCCAAGGTATGACCCAGTCCCCCTCCTGCAAGAGAATGGGGCCTATGGCCAGGCCTGAGGAGGCATCAAGCTCTGCCTGGGATTCACAGGCATCTGGTTCCTGGAATTCTGGTACTTGAGCCCCTGCAACAGGCAGCAGCCCCTTACCCTGGTGGTTTGAGCACTAACTTCTCATGCGAGACACCCAGGTTCAAGCCCCGCCCCGCCCCACAAAACTGCCTTGAACACCTGTTCTCTACCTCATTGGGCCCCTAGCCCTCTGGCTGGGCACCACAGATGCCAAGTGGAACAGGAGAGGTTGAGGCAGATACCACCACTCAGCAGGCCAGAGTTCAAATCCCTACCACTCAGGCAGTGGGAGGAGTTGGACCTGGGGTGCCTACAGGCTGGGCCTATGTCCTAATCTCTGAGCTGATGCAAAGGCAGCAGAGGAGTAAAGGGAACTGGTGATGGCTTGGACAGAATCCAGGGGTCTGGTCCCCCCCCCCCGCAGGATAGATAAGTGAGGCTCTGTCTGGAACCTAGGGCCCAGCTATTAACACCAGCGTGCCTGAGCTGGGCAGGCAGGGAACATTTTTGGGGGATAACCCCAGCCCTCCCTGTCCACATCCAAGCCCTAGCTGTTACCACCTGTCCTTCCAGGCTGCTCCAGCTCCAGCAGCCACACTGGGGAGAGGGATCTGAGAGACAAATGCCCTAAACATAGGTCATACCTAACCTCCTACCAGCTGCCTCTGGTCACGGGAGCAGGAGCATCTGTTTGCTATTGCTTCTGCCCCCAGCTGCCTCTTCAACCATGGAGGGGGTTTTGGCTGGTGCTGGCTCCTGCTAGAATTCCACTCTAAGCCAGAGTCACTTCCATCTTCAGTTTTTCCATCTCTCTGCCGCGAGGCTGAGGACCCTGAACACTGATACTGCCTTTGAGGGACAGACGACAGCGCTCGCTGGCTGTGCAGGGTTATGAGATCCACAGCCCGGGTTCCCATACCATGTGTGTTGGAAGACAGCGTAGGGTGCAGGACAATGCATTGGGCTGGGGGGGGAGAGTAGGCCTAGCCCCCTGGTCGATCCCCAGTAATACACTGAAGAGGGAGTAAATTATGGCCTTCAGGCAGCTCACAGAGTGAACCAGCAGGCTGCTGGGGAAGGGATGTTGCAAAGCAGCTGTTCCGACTTTCTTTGGCTAAGCCATGTGTCTGGTCCTCCAGGATCCAGACTGCCTAGGGCAAGGGAGTCTATCACATGGAAGATAAATAGCCCACTGCTTCAGCTCTCTGCTACCCCACACAGCACACGGGCTTCACATGCAGCCAATTCGGGGCCAATCCAAACTGCTTCGGCCTGAAAAGAACCTCCTCTCCAGGACAAGCTTAACCTGGCAGGTGCTGTGCGCAGTCTGGTGCTAGGGCCACTTCGTGAGGCCAAAAGCGGGTGCAGTGGGATTTCACACCAGCCTGTCCCCCTCTTTTTCATTGTGCTCTGAGGAAAGCCAAAGCCAAAGCCATTCCCAAATCCATCCTGCTCACCTGTTTGCTTCTCGCAAGCAATCTTACAGGCCAGAGCCACACCTGAGCCCATTCACTGTCCAACCAGTGCTCCCAAGAATCACACACCTAACCCAAAATAAAAGCCAGCATGGGCATTCCCCCGGGACTGCACCCCCGCTGGGCGGAGCCTGAGTTCTGGGCTCCCTTCTAGCCAGGGGGTCTGGCACTTTGGTGGGCTCAAGCCCTGTTTTGCAAACCTTGCGGGCCACCAGCCATCCAGTAAATAGCCTTGAGACTTAAAGCAAAGTTCGCCCCGGCTACGTGCTCACACTAGCGCCCCACGTCCATATAAGCACACACTGCGCACAGCGCAGAGGTGACTCCTGGCTCAGGGCGCGCCAGGCGTTTTTAGCTCATGTCACCATTCGTTCAGCACCGTTTTCAGGTTCTTTACCTGTTCACCTGACACCGATGACCACGTGAGTAGCTGGCGTCAGTGCCACAGCACAATCCATCTTGGGATTGCCTGGGTGGGAACAGCCCCTGCATTTCGAACAGCTTTTCCTTTGTAAAGCAGCTGCTGTCTCCCGGTGAACCTCACAGGCAGCCTGGCACACGCCTGGTGAGCTGTGCGGCTGCAGAAGCAGGAGGTGAGATCCACAGTCCAAGCTACAGTGCTGCTCCTGATCCAGTGGGACAAGCTGAGAAGGCAGGGTTGTTTCCGGGGCCCAAGGAACCATCTGTCCCATGAAACCAGTTCCGAGAAGGGAGACTCCTTATGCTCACATTTCACAGACGGCCGGATGGAGCATTTCCAGCAAGCCGGGCTGGGGGTAGCAGCACCTGTAGTTACGAAGCAGGGACGCTTCCTGGGCCCTGCAGCTCAGTCACCCTAAGTTCCAGCAGCTTTTCTGGTCATCTCACCAAAGCCAAACCCGCCATCGGCACCGTGTGGCAGCTTCTAGTCTCCCATTGTTGCTGGGTTAGCAAGCGACTCAAGACCAAAACTGGGCTGAAGCTGCTTCCCC